CAAATCAAATCAAATCAAATCAAATCAAGTACCCAGGTCCAATACCATGTAGAGCTTTAAAAGTAACGACTAGCACCTTGAAGCGCGTTGGGAGTCCAACAGGCAGCCAGTGCAGCTTGCGGAGGATAGGTGTAACGTGGGTGTACCGAGGTGCACCCACAATCGCTCGCGCGGCTGCATTCTGGACAAGCTGAAGTCTCCGAATGCTCTTCAAGGGCTGCCCCATGTAGAGCACATTGCAGTAGTCCAGTCTTGAGGTCACAAGGGCACGATATTTTTTGTATGTTGTCCATAGTCCTGGCTTAATAAATCTTATAAATAAAAAATAACTGCCAACCACTGCTTTTCAGTGCATGCAAGAAATTTAAATCTCTTTTTCTCACAACATAATTTCCCTATGATTACTCTCCACCTACCCACCCAAGTAGCAACATGTCAAATAATTGAAATCTTACCTTGACACAAGGTTGCTTAAATCACAGTGCATGTCACATTCTGTTATAATATTAAGGTCAGTTACTAAAGCTGACGCATTTCTGTTCATCTGGGGAAAGATAGTTTATTAGTGAAAAAGTGAAGAACAAATCAAATTTATGAATAAACCTGTCAGAGAGTCACAGCTTACTTAATACTGTATTTAAATATAAATGTTATGAGAAACTTCAAATGAGCTTGAGATTTGAATGTTCCCCAAAATAACTGCCAATTGGTAGAGTATGATCAAGTTGATTATAACATAGCAGCAAAGAGCTTCTGAGAATGCATCCAGATTTATTTATTTATAAAATTTATTGGCTGCCCATCGTACCATAGGAAAACTGTGAGCAGCTGTCTTAAACACACACACACACATTGTGTGTATACAATAAAACCATAAACAATTAAAATCAACATCAAAACAAAAGGGGAGGGGCAGAACAGGATAGGAAAGGAGGGATCAGTTGTTACTCAATCAACAACCTTCACTGTGCTGTGTTTATGCACTTTCAAATATACACATTTTCAAGCTCTTGAAAGGATTTTAAAATTTGAAAACTCATGGTCCAAAAAGTAGGTGCAGGAAGGAAAACAACAAAACTTATGTGATGTTTGTAGAGATCTGACCATGTTTTGTAAGGGGGGGGATCATTGTTTTCTTTTTCTTAAACTTTCTTTTTATTATTAAAATCACGTTGTGAATTTATAATGCAATTTTTGGAATTCATATTGAGATATTTTGTGTACTGTATTCTCAAGTTTAAATTCCCAGAGTTTATTTTATGGGATGTATTAAACTCAAACAGGACCCTACTTTATTATTTCATCAAAATATAATAGAATGTGGCATTTGCAAAGAACTGTATTTAACATTTAGATTTTAAAGTATATTTAATCTAAATGCCTATTTAATTTATGAATCCAGCATGTTTAGTAGTCATTGCCATACTTTATATTGTCAAGTTTCTAATTACCAGACAACAACAAGAACAGGCAATTAACTCAGGATTATTGTTGCTAAGATCAATCTTATTAAGAAGGCACTGACTTCCTGTATGCATCTTCAAAGCAGTTCAAGGATTTTATTATGTATATACCTGTATTCCATTCCAAAGATTTAAAGAACTAAAGCAATTAAAATTAAAATTAAAACAAGTGGATCCTTTAGAAAAAACAAGGAAACGGAAGAAAAGGAAATACAAAACATTTCAAAATGCCAAGACTTTTCATAGATGTTTATGGACTGTAGATACATGCTGGAGCCTGGGCAGTGCTTCAGATTCAAAGGAAAAAGGATGTTGTATTACAAGCATGCAAACATTTCCTATTGGCCACTCGGTAATCCAAACACATCTTTTTCTGGGATCATGCTGCCACTATGGAAGGCAAGCCTAAGAAGAAATGCCACCTACTGGCAATTTAGATTTAGTCCTTGCTTATTTATCAACTTATTTAACATGTTTCTAAGAAATCAAGCATAAGAATACATTTCTAACTGAAGTATTACTAGAACTTACTTTTGTGTATGTTTCCAAAACAAACAGAATACATTTAAGCTGTAAGTTTTGGCAAAATTGTATTTTTGTGCAGAATTTCAGGCTCTGTTTCTTCTATTAACTTTTTCCTGTCAAGATAACCGTTCTAAAAATTATACAGTTAAAATAATTAGGAAATTTATGTCCTCATCTTCCTCTTTCTTCAACTGTTTATCCTGCTGTGTTATGTATTTAACCACATGAAGATTCGGCTTACATTAATCCAATGTAAATAGTATTAATTCTCAATCAAATATAAAGTACGAAGCTTGGAATAAAGTATTATGTGGTATCCAAAAATTATGCATTAGTACAGAAATACAATATTTTAATACATATTCATCAGCATAAAATTATTAGCCTTTTCAGAAAAATAAACCAACGTATCAAAATTACACTAATAACCATGGATAGCTTCACAAGAAATGTCACAAATTCAGTTTGTTATACTAGTTATTGAAGCTTAGTAAAATGCTCTATTTTATTTTAAAAACATCTTCCATTACCTGATTTTCTTCCGTGAGTTTAAATTCCAGCTGAAATGAGACTGACTGACACTTTCCTGACACCTTATAATTTTGAATAGTTTTAGATCCATCTGTAATAAAGAATATTAAAATACATAGTCATCTTCAGTCATACTTGTTCTTTATGGACCAATAACATTTAAAAGCTAACCATATTTAATATAAGATACATAGTCAGTTCATTAAATCAGCAGTCTGTCTAAAATACAAATAGGCAGTGTGGTGACTTTGGGCAACAATGTGGCTGGTGAAACTTTTTTTTTTTTTAAAAATTAAATTAGGGAAGTTTTCAGACTGCAAACTATAACCTCCAGCAACTTTACAAAATACCTCTGGCATTTTAGACAATGAAAATGACACATAGCTCAACTTGACTACTTTCTCTGGAAACATGTCTGCTTGCTTAAAAAATATTCAAAGTTTATTGGTAGAGAACACCAGTGACTATAGGCAGGGAGCAACCTCACAGTATTGCTTTCTGTAAATTTAACTGGCCACATCTACCATAGGTTGTTCTGTGAATTAAGTGAGGTCCTTTTAGCAAACATGGTCTCAAAAGTCCAAGTAAGTCTTCCTGAACAGAGCTTAGTTTTAAATATTCTGTTCTCTGGGAAAGGTAGTAAAACTGGTGGTGGTCTCAACACTCCACAGCTACTTCTGTAATGCTGATTAACTGCATCCATTTCAATTGGACTTTTGGTTGAGAAATGGTACAAAGCATGCTTGTATCACCTTGGCAGTTGAAACCAGATTGGTGAATGCAACCCAACCTAGTTCTTGCAGTTTTCACTCCTCCTTCCTCTGACCAGGTGTGAAAATGTACTTGGTTCCCATGAGAAAATATTTTATTTTGGCTACAAAACTCCAGCTATCTGTAATCCCACCTCCCTATCTAGTAGTGGGATTCAATTTTTTTTACTACCGGTTCTGTGGGCATGGCGTGGTGGGCATGGCATGACTTGGTGGGCGTGGCAGGGGAAGGATTCTATAAAATCTCGATTCCCTCCTCAATCCAGAGGAAGGTTACTGCAAAATCCCCATTCCCTCCCAATCAGCTAGGATTGGGGGGAGGGGGGCAGGGATAGTCAGAGGTGGTAGTTACCAGTTCTCGGAAATACTCAAAATTTCTGCTACCAGTTCTCCAGAACTGGTCAGAACCTGCTGAATACCACCTCTGTCCCTATCCCTCAGCTCCAGAATGGCAACACTGAAGCTCGAAGATGGTTTCAGTCAGGGTTGACAATGGCAAAATCAATATTTGAGATTAGGAATATGATGTTGAATCAAAATAATGTATGAAGTGTGAAAAAAAGTATATAATACTGTGACAATCATTAAAATACCTACTTTTTTCCACAAGTTTACGTGAATAATGTGTAAAGAAAATGCCTGTAAATTTCATTATAAATGAAAGATCAGCTTCCAAATAGTGGAGTTCAGTTTCCTGATCTGGAGATTTAGATTGCTTCAGTTCTTCTTCAGGCTTTTTTCTAAGTAATTTCCTAAAGTAAGAAAAACTGTTATCAGCTAGATCCGAATGAGAAACCTCGAGTACATTGGCATAGAAACTATGTTAATGAACAAACATGAATGGGCCTAGGACTGAAGAAGAGATGTATTTTTATATTACAAGTAGATGATACACCATGTAACTTACAGCTCTTTCAATGCCCCAACAAGTACAACAATTATTCTCTTTATATATTTTTGAGAGGTCAAGTATCTTCCAATTGAGGCCAAAACTCTTGCAAAAACCAGAATATAATCAACTCATCTATCAATTTTTACTAAATTAGATTACTCAGTCCAATTTTTTGGAAATATTAATGCAGGTGTACTAAATGAAGCTCTCTGTGGATTTAATTAAGGTTGAGGAATGGAATGCTCTATTTAAATTCTTACTAAAGCTGTTTTAACCCATAAGAGATTTGGTCTCTCTAAATATGGATTCTTCAGAAGATGTGAAGTTGAATAAAAATTATTGCACAATGGGTTTTGTGCTACCCTGATTTAGGAAACCAATTTAGGAAACCAACTTAGTAGTATCAAATCATTAGGTATTTTGGTCAACTTCTGATATCTAAACATCACAGAACTCTTATGCTCTTATGCTATAATTTTTAATGTTCCAAAATCCCAAATTTAAAAAGACTCCTTATATTTCATGGATGGAACAATCTAACTGCTGGCCTACCTTTTATGCAAAAGGAATGAAGTTTTTTATGCAGATGACTTTATACACAATGATATTTTTATGTTGATTAATTTAATAAACCCTCTTAAAATTTCTCAGCTTAAGGAACAATATTTTGAATACCAAGATTTTAGTGTAATAATCATAGGAAAATTCTTAGTAATTGCAAGCCAAATACATGGTAGCACCTACTTGGACAACAACATTCTCCCCCTCCACCAAAGATCTAGATGGAGTTGACTCAATTGGCCTTTTGTTGATTCAGCAGACCTTGCTGTTTCCCAGGCATTTTGGTCAGGAGGGTAGGCTAACCATATTAGCCATATATTTTTATGATTTGAGAGGTATCATTTAACACCCTATTGCTTTAATTGTTGGGTCTTAATCTTTGTAGTCTGCCCAGTGTCACTTCAGAGATGGGTATCCATGTACATTATTTAAATAAACAAACAAAAATTACTTACATGATCTCCATTATTTCTGCCTCAGTATATGCTATTGACTTGTGTTGACAATGTTCATATTCTTCTGTTAGCATTTTAATTTCTTCTTCCAAAGATTTAATTTCATCTTCGCAGGCCTGAAGTTCATTGCTATTCATTTTTCAGAAATCTTCCTAAAGAGCAAAAACTAATATAAATACAACATTTAGGCAACTTTTTTCTCCCCTTTTCTTAACTTAAAGATTTCAGTTTGTCTCCATCAGTCTGCCAAAAATAAAGAAGCATTATTATTATTATTATACAATTGTATCACAGCAGCCAGTTGTTTTGCCGGATTTGACATTGGTTACTAGTCGGGCCCCACCCAAAGGCCTAGGACGTCGTAACGTATTTTCGTAATATGCGTGCAGATCCAAGCAGTGCGGCTTTTTGCATTTGACTGATAGTGATTTTGTCAATNTTTTTTTTTTTTTTTACAAAGTAGCAATTTTCTTTAATAGGGAGAAACTTGTTACCTGTCTTTTTTAAAAAGCAAAATAAAATAAGGAGGCTGATACCCAATCCCATTGCATGTACACAGTCATATGATGATGCTGGGATAGAGGCTCTTAAACTCAATGGGCCATCATTTACTATTGTTAACTCTCTGGGCCTTTAATCTGATTCTATGTATCTATATGATCTTAACATATTTTTGTAAATATCCCAGGACTTTTTGGATTATGTAGCAAATATAAGCTGACAAAACAAATAAGTAAAGCAAATAAGAATGCAGCTGCTCTGTATAACCTTTATGCATTGGCTACGTTTCACTTCCAGGTTCAAGCAGATTACTGTTTATCCAATTTAACTACTAAATAACATAGTAGTATTTAGTAATATATATATATTCCTCTTTTTTACAGAAGCTGACAAAATTGTCCTATCTCTACTTAGCACAGAATGCCCTGGAGTCTGTTCCTCCTAATTTGCCAGAAAGCCTACGTATTCTGCATCTTCAGGTTTTTCAATCTTTTTTTTTTTAACTGTTGCGCAAACATTACTATTACAAGCATAATGCTTTAAAATACATCCCCGGTGTCTGAGAAAAGTGTGAATAAAATCACTCACTAACGTAGATTTGCAATGTGCTACAATTAAAAAGTGTCAAGTATGCATTTGACAACATTTAGAAAATTATTACACTGATTAAATCTAACTGAAGTTAATATGAGCACGTTGTCACACTCCTGTACTAATTACAATACATAAACTGCATTTCAAATAGCAAAACATGCGCTAAAAATAGACATTTGTTGAATTATATTTGTTTAAACTTATTTATTGCTTAACTAAGGAAGAATATCAAAATTCCCATACCCGTGTTTACAGTGCTAATTTGGTTTCTGAATCTTCTTGGAGAGAATGTATGTCCTGTAATATTACAGAAATATTAATATCTCAACAAAAAGAGAAAAATGAAATCTCAAAAGGGGATGCTTGGATTTTTCAAATGCATTGCTTTGATTTACAGTTCAACAACATAACCAGCATCACAGATGAAACTTTCTGCAAAGGAAACAATCAGACCCGTTACGTTCGTCAGCGCATGGATGAGATCAGAATGGAAGGCAACCCAGTCATCTTGGGAAAGTACCCCAATGCTTTTATTTGCTTGAAGAGTTTGCCTATAGGCCAATACTTTTAGTTGGTAACCAAACTGAAACACGTAAAAATTAGGTAAAATTACTGTTGTATCACTGTTTTAAACATGTCCTTGTATTAATAGCCTCTCACATATATATTCAGAACTTTTAATGGTAACAATGTATTTAGATCTTCCCTAATGTGGTGATATTGCACCTTCTGATTTAAAAAGTTTGAGCATTTGTCTACTTTTAGATAATAGATTCAAGCATGAAACCAGGAAAAGGTAGCGACTCCTTCTGAGTAATCAGATTACAAATTGAATTAAAATTGATTTTAAAACTCTTACTGTTATGAATCTAAGAATGCATAGTAAATCTAAAGGAATGCATTCTTTTAGGGGACAAGTATAATTTGATTTAATTCTGGAAGGACTGTAAATAGACTGTACAATACTTTGGATTTAAAGAGGAAAAAATCGTTCAGAGCACATACTCTGTGCGAAGACATATAGGAGCTCTTGCAATTCCTTAAATCTGTTTTTCTCAGGATCATGCTGTAGCTCTGGAGGGCACTCACGTGTTCCTGGGAAAAGACTTAGCTCATTTAGTAAGTTGCTGATAAGGTGGTACATAAGCATCCTACAGTTCAAACTACCTTTTTTCTTTAAAATGTGAGGGCTGCACTTAATGAAAAATCCAGGGAATATGGGGCCACAGACAGATCAAGCTTCTGATGCTTTCTCAGTCAATGTAGATACAGATGGGATAGGAAGGGCAAGCAACAGCTGAACGGGTGCTAGTTTGACACAGTTGAGTTGTTGAAAGGCCAAACAAGGCTATGGCTTCCTGCTGCTGGCAGGCACAGCTATTTATGCAAGAAAGAACCAATATAATACACAGGGAGATAGGCTGAAATTGCAACATAGATTATAGATTAAGCAGACCTTCCCAATTCAACTTCTGATGATGATGAAAGAAGATAATATCATTTAAAATATATTAGCAATCTATTCTAATCTTACTGGCAAATGTCATTCATGAAATGTGTTTTAAGAAAAAAGTGAGCCAAGCTTATTAAAAGCGTTTATCACGCTTATCAAAATGAAAGGGGAAAAAACACCAATCAATTTATATACTATAGCATAGAAGATTTTGCTTAAATGTTAGCCTGCCTGCCACATCCATTTGTGGAATAGGGCCTTTTATGTGCATTGAGGGTGAGTACAAGTTTAAAAAAGTAAAATAGATCTCTTAAATCTTGAGGATTACACAGCCTAATCTTTAATGAATTTGTGAAATTTGTCTCCAACCAACCAACCAATGTGGCATAGTATTTGCAATATGAATAAGTAACATTTTTGAAATATTTGTTGTATTTAAAGCATATTCACTTAACCAATATCACAATTTTGCTGTGATATCTGAATTGTAATCAGCTGAATTAATTCATAAAAGTCAGCTTAGTTGATTTCAACATAGCAATCAAACAATTTGTATGCATGTATCAGATGGTTTTTTTTCCAGAAATACCAGCAGTATTATTTGTACTCATTCTCATTCTTTGCATATGTTTGATTAAGACAGATATATTATTTCTGATTTAATTATTCACCGATATTGAAGACTATTTTACAGCCATGAGCCTTTGCTGTACCTATACACTTTTAGCAATTTAAGATATCAGACTTCAATTATATGGTGAATTTATATGATGTGAAACCTTTACAGAGATTTCTGATTGATTTTAGTCTGCATAAGCTTCCTGTTGTCTAGAATTCTCCATGCCTAATAAATAATTATAAAGAAAAAAGGCTTACTATTCTTTTGTAGATGTCCTACTTATCAGACAGTGAAATGATAAATTGCGGTAGTTACTTCATTTGTCCCATCCCCTACCTCCCACAACACCTGAGAAAATCGGTCTGTTTGAATTCTTCCTACCATCAACAGGATTAGGCTACATTTTAATCTTCCTTCCTGCCTTCATTCAACTGAAATCACATGATTCCCCATTCCTCCTACTGTACCTTCTATGGTGATTCTACAAGATATTCTCATATTAATCACTCTCTGATATTCCAAGCAACAATTGGATGCTCTTGAGTATACTGTGGATAACCAAGAAAATAAATAAATGGAACATGGAACAATCTAGAGTTTTCACTCAAGGTACACATGACCAGACTGATATTACCATATTTTGGGCACATTATGCAAAGACCCAACTCTCTTGAGAAGCTATAACTCTGGGAAAGATGAAGGAAAGACAAGAGGGTAATGAGAAATAAGGCTAATGGACTTGTTTACAGCAGCCCCTGGTGATACAACGTAACTGGCTTCTAATTAGCTACAGTACTGAGTCCTGTTCCAGAGTGTGTTTTTGACATGTAAGGCCCTAAACCACTTGGGATCAGAATACTGCAGATACTGCCTATACAGACACAGAACTGATCTGTAATTACAATTTTGTATAGCTAACTGTAATCATTAAAACATTAAGCTTATCAGGTCTTGCTGTGTGCACTAAGAGTGACATACTACAAGAGTCATCTTGTAATTACTCAAAGTAGGAGCTTCTTTACCTTGAGTTGTGGCAGATACATTCAGAATGTTCTTCCTCCAGAAATTCATAAGGCACCTATTATTTAGTTGCAGTGGCAATGCAATAGCCAATAAGGTTTATCTGAGGCGAGGTTATTACTAACCAGAAACTTATCTATATAAGTAAGTTGATGAATTATTTCTACTTAGTGAGATATGTGAATACAGATTTGGTTGGAATCTGTTCTGCAATCCTTTTATAACACTATAAAGGCACAGTTTTTTCCATTTAAAAAAAGCCTGAGATGTACCTCTTTCTGCTATCCTGCTATGTTGGTGCCCCAGTTGTATAGCATCTTGTGATTGTTAAATTATTTTTATGAATTATTATTTTATACTTAAAATTTTATTTCTTGGTTATTTTAAATTGTTTTATATAATGCCCAGAGTTGATCTGATGTGGTAGTCCAGCTATATAATAAATAAATATACAACGTAATATCTAAAATTGTGGGTTTGCCAAAATATTATTTTAAAATCTATACTGGATGAGATAAACTTTCTGGCCATTCTTTTTAACACAGTTCTCAGACTAATAACACAGTACTCAAGCTGATGTTTTGTATAGTCATTGGGAAAGGAAAAAAAACCCACAAACTTCTACCTAGGAAATTATAAACAGTATAATTTTAAAGCATTGCAATCTTCATAAACTTATATTACTTAAATACTCTTAATTTATAATATCACAGTGATATATTAAATCAATGGATCACTACACATTCATTTAACTCTGCTAATTCATGCACCAAAATGAAAGTTTCCAAAGTACTACCTTAAAATGAGCGAACGTACGTTCCCGATGTTTACACCATTCAGAGAAACAAGAGAGACTTCTGAAGAACAGGCAGAGATTCCCATTTTCTTCAATCCTAAAATGCATCAATATATATCTATTATTTTTTCTATGGATAATTTTCCATACTATTTTTCTAAGCTCTTGAATACATAAAAAGTGGCAAAAACTATTAGTCTGAAACATTTTTGCAAAGTTAAATTGCTGAACAGTGCCCTTAAGCTGTAAATGTTTTAAGATTATTTGTTACTTTAATAAATCTTGATAAGTTAAGGCTTTGTTTGTATGTAATAATTTTATTTATATATTTAAAACATTTATATAGTTGCCCATCTTATAATCAAATTGTAGTGTATATCCTCTCATCATTTTGCTTTATATAATCGAACATCAAAGTAGTCTGCAGCAATATTAATAAAAAAATTTACACATACCTAACAAAGACGTATTAGCACCATATGTTAGTGCTTCAAAAGCTAAATAAACAGTTCAAAAGACATATAATTTTGTCTCCCTAATTTTACCAACCACACTCTCTTCCTCCAAAAGAAACTAATTTGCTTAACAAATACTGATTTTGGTTTCTTCAAGAGATAGTTATTAAAACAAAGTATTACTTAGCATGATATTTTAATCAGGTCTGATTGCATTTACATGCCATGCTATGTATAGTTTACTAATAAACCACAATTATTAGGTTTATAAAATCAAACAAGCCACATTTTAGCTTAGGGGATGCTGTATAATTTCTAAACATGCTTTTTACCAAACACAACAAACAATATTATGTCTCCCTGATTTACTGGAAAGACAAAACAACAAATGATTGAACTTTAAAAAGATACAGAAAAACTTTATACAGTGCTTTAGCAACATGGTTATTTAATAATTACATTGCCCACTCCAGGCCTAAGGTTAAAATAGCAGGTGACAATTAATACATATTATGTTTAAACAGCAACAAAAGAGAAGTTATCTGTGTTCAGTAATTCAAAACTAGCATAATTGAATTGTTATTATTAACATGATTTGGATATTTTGTACCATTTCTTTCAAAATTACTGCAAGAACAAGTGTTCCAGAGTATTATAAGATCAGTCTAAAGTCACTGTACTAAAAATCGAACTAACCAAAAGCCAAATGGTTGAGTATTAAAGTAAAAATATGATATGAGAGGTCCATGCAAAAGAGACTATCAGCCAGCCCCAAAAGGAACGAAAAGATTCAAGCACCGCTACACCAGCAATCAGCACCCACATCAACATACAATTTAATTCCAAGGTTAACATCAGACCAACAATCAAGTAAACAATTCTCCATTCAAAAAATTGCCACAGAAGTCAAAACAAGCAGCCCAATCAAAGAATCTCTAACCCCCCAACACTGACAGGCAAGCCACTAGAATATAAACTGACAGCAAACAGCACTCCTTACTAGCACTGATGATGTTACCTAGTTTGGGTAATGAAATGTCAACAAGAAAAAAGCTCAGAGAGCACCAAAGACCACTCACATCAACCCTGAGCTACAAATATTCTCCTTTAAAGTATGATAAGAAAATTATAGATAAAAGGAGGAATAAAAAGAAATATATCGACTACAAATATATAACTCTAGAATGAAAGAGCCTGTTAGCATGTGCCTACTCTAGTAAGATTTGCTTAATCTTTAACTTCTGTAAAAGGCTGAAGGAAAGGAAAAAGAAGAGAACAGTTCAGAATGTAAGAAAGAAAAGCAAAAACTGGATGTATTGATTAGAAGACTGGCATGATCAAACTAAGCCTTCAGTTGGCTTCTCACCATGGACCATTAGGAAAAAAATCTTATCTTATCTAACACTAAATGGGATGAAAGGTCAATGATTGTCTCAAAAATATGTGCTATATTCTTAAAAAGGTTAGGTTGGTGTTTCTGATCGTCACATTTTGTATATTGAATTGAATTGAATTGATTATATTTCTATGCCGCCCTTTTCCCCGAAGGGGACTCAGGGCGGCTCACAACCCAAGTCAAGGGGGGGGGCACAAATAAGGAAAAAGAACACGAACAAAACAATACCACAATTTAAAATACACAACAACCATACCATTCAAGGGGGGACAAAAGCTCATTAGCCCCAGGCCTGTCAGAACAGCCAGGTTTTAAGGGCTTTGCGGAAGGCCT